ATATTTCACATTATTTATATAAAACTTAAACCAATTTATAATATATATATATATATATATATATATATATATATATATATATATATATATATATAGAGGAGTGATCATATGAAAACCGCCCTGATTTGTGTAAACCGTGCAAACCACCTTCATCTGTCGATTTCATTGTTTAATCTTGTGAAATTTTTTCATGAAATTGTTTAATCTTGTGAAATTGTTTCATATAATACTTTTTTTGATGAAGTTGTTTCATATATGGTTGTGAAATTGTTTCATATAATACTTAATGAAACTGTTTCATGTATTTCTCTAAAATTAAAATAATGAAGATGATAATATTTATGATTAACACCCTCCACAATAAAAATGATTAATCAACCTCTCATAATTACAAAAAAATGAACAAAATGAAAAATTATGATTGGTTGCAGGGGCGGAACACAACTGTTGTAGTCCGGGGGGCCGAAATATAAGAGCATCTTCAATAGATTTTTCAAAATTGAGAAAATGGAGATTTTAGGCATATTTTTGCTCCAACAGGCTCTCCAAAGTTCTCCAAAACGGAGAAAACATGAGAGAGTGTAAACAAAAATTGATTACAATGAGAGAGAATCATTTTTTTCCATCATATTCACACCGTTAATAATCATTGATATTAATGGTTTATAGGTCACTGACATATCATTTTTTGTCTTTATTTGACCCTAAGAATGGATTGGATCGAAACGACTTTCCTGCCAATGGGAGATTGGATTCGATCCAATCATTTTTTTCCATCATATTCACACCGTTAATAATCATTGATAGTAATGGTTTATAGGTCACTGACATATYATTTTTTGTCTTTATTTGACCCCAAGAATGGATTGGATCGAAACGACTTTCCTRCCAATGAGAGATTAGCTGGGGCGGGGAGCTCGAGCTTGGTTTTAATAGAGTTTTAATTATCCATTTTGGAAATTTTTTGAAGAATATGTTGAAGATGCTATAATATTGTAAAAATTTGTAAATCAAAATGATTTGTTTTTAGACTATTAAATTTTTCRAAAAAGATTRATTAATRTAATATTAAAATTTGAAACATTCAAAGTATTAACAGGAAAATAGTAATACCAATTTAAACATTATTTAMATATAATTAATATATTATATTATTTACTCTAAAAACTAAAACATTCAAAGTATTAACCGAGAAATAGTGATACCGGTGTAATTTACTTTAAAAACTTATATATAATTAATATATTATATAAAAACTAATACATGTAATTAAATATTAATAACTTTTATAAAGTGCAAAAATAATTGCTTGGGATGGGATTTGAAACAACAACCTCCAATATATATAGGAGGTATATCATTGCCAACTGAGCTACTTAATATATATATTTTTAATAGCTTAGTTATAGTATTTAAGTAGAAAAGCGGGGGGGCCATGGCCCCCAAAGGCCCCTATGGGGTTCCGCCCCTGATTGGTTGAATGCGGTTTGCACGGTTTGTACAAATTGAATGGTTTGCATTTGATCGCTCCCCTATATATATATATATATATATATATATAATAAATATGGGCTGCACATATGGGAAGGAAAAGATTTTAGTAGTGAAAGGGAACAAAAATATTTGGCAATAAAAGAGAAAAACGAGCACAATGAGACTTGAACCCGTGATTCCTTATAGGTGACGAAAACATCAGGTGCAACCTTTGTTGCTAATACATAGTATTTGTGCGAAAACCGCAAGGGTAATTAGCCATTGAATAAATTTCTTCAGCTTGCATTTCCTTGACGAAATCCGCCCACATTAGGATTAAAGGCAGGTTTTTACGCGTTACTCACCCGTCCTTTGGCCCTCACTATGTTCCGCCATTGTCTCCATAGATATAAATATTTATAAGGTGGTCCACCTTGTACTTCTAACCTTCATTTTTTTCTATGATGGTGATAGACTTAGTTTGATAGGCTCTCGATGTATAATGTAGGCATGCAAGCGATAAAACATTGTTGTTCATTAGTCATGATGGTCTCTACACTCTCTCGATAACTACATAGAAGTTATAGCGATGAGATGTCGTCTATATAAACCAACTATGACGATAAAATTGACTTTTAGCAACGACAAAGTTCGTTGCTAAAACGTGTATATCTTATGGTGTATGTATGCATATATAACCAACTTATATCCCTCAATCACTTTTCTCGTTAAACCTACACACCTGCATAACACTAAATGCACAGTAAACACCTCATCAACAATACCACATTACAAAATCATTATCTCTTATCACACGCTCGTCTTAATATTGTCTTGATATAATCTCAATATAGCATGTACGTGGCACTTGCTCATTAAACATATTCTCATTGATGACATATTAAATACATCATATATAATTTTTACTTATCATAAAATAAAACCCTGAACTTATGTGTCGATTGAAAACTAAGAGTATTTAAATATTATACAGAAAATAAGGAAGAAATAAACATTAGCATAACATATATTGTATTATAAAGTATTTATTCCATGTTTTTAAAAATTTCATATATAAAATCCATATTTAGAATTTATTAATACATAAATATAACTTAATAAACGGTTACGTTTGAACTTAAATTGAATAATAACCAATTTTTAAAACATATTCATATACATGATAATCGTGTAATCTACAACTAGAACATAATTTTAGATTTTCCCTTTTAATAAGGAAGTGCATTAATTTTCTATTACATGTTTTATATATCTCGTTGCATATCATAAATTTTAATTAGTTTTTTTTCGGTCAAAATTAATTGTATATCTCAGACCATGGAAAAAGGAAATAAATACAAATGAAAAAACAAAAAAGTTGTTGAAAAGAGTTATCGTCTTACCATTTATACCAAGGAAGCAAATGGGATTACTAAAAACTTATGAACCACCGATCGTTATCAAAACTCCATGTCTTTGTTCTTATAGTTATTGTCTAAAACGTGATTCTAAATAAGCCAATAATAAGAAGGGATTACAACAAGTTCGAAGATAATTCATTTAATAAAAAAGACGCAATTAATATTATAATTAGACCATTATATTCTGATAACCAAACTTGACTGTATGGCTTAAGACAATACGTCTAATTAGGATGTATCCTTATGAAAAGAGTTACAACATCTGTAATGCAATTAAAAAACATGTTAATAATTTTTTATATAATTAAAGGAATATAATATAATTATATTCTTGAAAATATTTGTCACAAAAGCTATTCGCATGATTTAAGATCCGACCATGTGAAACCAAAATCATGTTACTTAATTATGTCCCAAATAAGTCCATAAATAATAAATAATTAAAATTTGATAAGACACCACCATGTGAAATTAAATCGTATAACCTTTTAAAAACTCCATTAGTTTAAGTAAATTATGAATACTAATAATTCAAGTTGTATATTAAGGGGATGTTTGGGATTGCTTATAAAAATAACTTATTGACTTATTTTGGTGTAACATCGGTAATAAGTATTTTCGAGTGTTTGGATAAACAACTTATAATAAGTTGATAAGTGCTTTTGTAAAAAAACATAAGTCATTTCAAATAAGCAATCCCAAACACCCTATAAATAACGTTTTTGTAAACTATTTTATTTCTTTTGCTTCATTTTCTTGTCAATTGTCCTATTTTTAACGTTCTAATATTTAACCAACCATTTTTTTATAAGAGTAAATTACGTTTTAGTTTGTTGAAAATTTCTAATTTTTGTTTTTATGATTTTAAAATTATGATTTTCATTCTTATGGTAATTCATTACTTTTTTCGTTTTTATGATTTAAATTTATTATTTTTTTTGTCCCTATGGTTAACTATTCATTTCTATTTTAGTTCTTCATACTCAAAAATAGTGTTTTGACCCAGAGCGAAAATAAAAATGAATTGCAAACCAAAAGGATGAAAATTGAAATTTCAAAACCACATAGACGAAATTCGTAATTTTTAACAAACCTCAGAGATGAAAAATGTAATTTACTCTTTGTATAATTAGTTATTTGATAATCATCCTAAGAGGAGAATTACTTTGCAAACCACGTTATATGTACAAATCTTGTTCAACCGATAATAATTTTTTATTTTGTTCATTTTTTTGTAATTATGAAAGGTTGATTAATCATTTTTATCGTGGAAAGCGTTAATAATGGATATTATCATCTTTATTTTATTGATTTTAAAGAAATACATGAAACAATTTCATTAAATTTTATAAGTATTATATGAAACAAATTTTATAACCGTATATAAAACAACTTCACCAAAAAATTATTATATGAAACAATTACATAATCATATATGACACAAATTCATCAAAAAAAATATTATATGAAACAATTTCAAGAAATTTTTTCATAAGATTAAACAATAAAATCAACGGACGAGGATGGTTCGCATGGTTTGTACAAATACGAGTGATTTACATTTGATCACACCTCATCACCCTAAATGCTTAGAAAGACTTATAAATAAAACAGTATATTGTGTTAAAACTATAAGAAAGTTAATAATAAATATAACTTTAAACAATACAAACTTTAGGTATAAAAAAAAAGATGGTATACAAAACGATATTTTGTGTTTTGTCCCACAACTTGGATAAACGATGGGAACCCAAACCATTTCATGTTCGGTTTTTTATAAAACTAAAATATGCACGGTTATACGTTGAATGTCATCATATGACCAAAAAATATAAATCGAAACACCAATTTAGCAGATACGCATTTAGTTGCAACGAAGCCATGTTGATGCTAGTAAATGACTAGGTGAACCCAGTTAGATTCGACATCAAGATCTCATTTCGCGTTTGTTAGTCATAAATGTCAACTTCATATCTGGTCCCTTTGTTAGTCAGGCCGGGGACCAAATCCGTAATAAATTACAGACCACAATAATTCAGAATGTAATAAATGAAAATACAGGGACCGTAGTAAAAATTTACTCTAAAAACGAGGATGAAGAAGTGAAAGGTGTAGTAGGGAAAGAAAACAAGAAGAAAAGTCTGATACAAATGATTTAAGGCAATACTTTACATCTCTCATATTAACTACTCCTACTACCCAACTCAAAATTGCAACCTATTTCATCTGCAAACTGCTAGATTTAAACCCTAAACCCTAATTAACCCCCAAATGGGTTCTTCTTCCCTTTCATCTTTGTACACAACAATATATCATCATCTCATTCTTATGACTCAAAATTTTCAAACAAACAAGAAAAACCCTCTTACCGGCTGCTTACTTAACAGCCTTTTGCCTCATCTCAACCACCTTCCTGTGAGAGTTTGAGTGTAGACTTGGAACAAAGGTCGGGCTGGCGGCCGGGCGGTACTCAGGGTAGAGACGCCCGGAGCGGTACCGGACCCCACATGCATTGCAAAGTGTTTTAGGTCCCATTGGTCCCTCCCTCCATTGTGGGGTTTTCGTGATTTCACAGTGGGCACATTTCTTGATCCCCACGACATTCGATCTTTCAACAGATCTCTTTGGGTCTATGTTAACTGATGGTTTCTTTCTCTTTTTATCTTTGTTTGGAAGAATTAGGTGAGGGGACACCAGCCATGGATTGGTGGTTGGTCGCAAACGCTTGCTTCGAGTTCTTACCGGAATGGAGATTTCGATTCCAAAGGAGATGCCTTTACTATTTGAGCTCGAGCTGCGACTTTCAAGGACTGAATTCGGGCTAGGTGCTTCGAAGGCTGCTGCTGAAGGATAGACCCCTTTCTTTTCAACAAAAGTTGGCTGCTGTTTTAGTTGAGAAATCCTGCCAATTTGACAGTCCTTGGAGGGTTCTTCATCAAGATTTAGCTGATATTTTGGTTGTAAATTCCTGCTATTCTGCAAAAGAAGAAAAACCATCCAGAATTATATGTTAGGGAATGTGAGACAGATTCAGGTGGACAAAGATTTGTCATGTAAGTGGATATATGATATGATAATATATCGATGAATTAATTGCTTAGTAAACAATGGCAGAAAAGCACCCGAAGAAGTTATTTTGTTGCCAACAATCAATTGGAAGATGAAAAACCACATACAATCAGACAAACAGAAAATACAAAAATTTCCATGCTTCCCCCAAAATGGCTACATCCGCAGGTAGCAGCAAATGGAGTTCCTTTCTTCTTACATAATGAATACAAAGGATTAAATTCAAAAAGATCATAAGAAAGAAGATATCGGTTGTATACATTAAAATAGGGTAGGAGTTGCAATAAAAATGTTGAAGACCTAGAGACAATATCGAACAAATGCCTCCTGGTAGACAACCAAGTGCTGAGAAACTTGTATATGAATGTTATATCTCTGAAGGATCTCTTTGAGGAAAGATGACTTTTAAAGTTGATCGCTTTTGGGAAACTAGCCGGTAAAAAAGAAAATTTGAACTTCATACATGTTCATTAGCATTTGTCAAGGAATCTGACATAGGGCACGGGCTTACAACACCTGAGGGAACGTAAGTGTCAAATAGCTGGCCGTTATGCTTTATTCGAGTGTCTGACCAACCAAGCATAGCCCTCTTCCCCTAGGACATAGCCGTAAACCATAAGCCTGTTATGGCTTTGGGAGTAAGCGAGTACCCTTATGAGCCTTGTGCCAAACCAAAGATTGTGGTCATTAGATACAAATCACACTCTCTTCTTGCAAAAGTAAACCAACATTATTTTTTCAAACAACATTTGGTTCTTGAAGTAAAGAACAAGAAGCTTAACTCCTTGAATCGATCAGTTTCAATATTACTAGTTACACCTCTCTTCCTAAGTTATCAATAATCACTTAAAGAACTACAAACAACATAAATAAGCGAATAACAAGAAGCTTTGCCTGAAATGACAAGAATGCAGAGCTGAATTAAACCCTTCCACCCCCACCCCACATCACAAGAAAGATGACAAAACAAGACACTAAAAATCGAACCATTGATTCCCAACCTAACAAGGATCCCTTTCCTTAATGTATTTCTAAGCATGTCCAATTGTGAGCTGAAGAGAAGGCACCTTAAGAAAATGGTGGAAATATGGCCTTAAATCACTGAAGTTTCTGATAGCTTTACAGGAGTGAGCATGCAAATATATTTCAACTCAATTTTTCATATCATCACCAGGGAAGATGCTTACAAGTGCAGGATACTCGAAGGGAAAATCCGTGGAGGAGCCATAGCTATTGCCAACACCAATTTGGGACACCGGCGGCACAAGCTCTTTGAAGACCTCAGAAGGTATAGGACCAAGTTTAGAGGCCCAATCTTCAGCAAATCCATCCCCTTCCACACTCTCCATTGGGAAATCAAACATATTGAGTATATCACCAAAACAATCCTCATCGTACACACGATGATTATAATCAATGGTCACACCAGAAAAGGCAGATTCAGACTTGCACATTCTCTTATCCTGGAATGAAAATTAATCACTACTTAATACAAAATACCATCGTTATGAATTCAACAAAGACGCAACCCATTGCAAGTAGCAAGCATAAATTGGTATTCATATCAAAAGCAAGGTAAATTACAAAGAAAAGTCGGAAACCAAAATACCCACATGAAATCATATATCTTCCTATACGCAAAGATTTGAACTTGGATAAAGTCTTGGACTTTTCTCTTAACTTCGTGCATATGGGACAATATGTTCTTTCCAAATTCAAAATTAACAATAGTTTTTAGTTTCTGAATCCAAATTATTCTTATTTAATGCTCTTTAATATTCAAATGTCGTTATAATAATTCAGGGCATGTTACAGAATCATTTTTCTAAATCAAATGTACAGTTACATATTGACAGTCGAATGTTGGAACAGAGGGATTAAAAGATTAAGAATCAAAATCAAATTCTATGTATAATCGTTAATCTATCAACCCAGAATCTGTGTCCAAAAGTACTAAAACTCCGAATAGATATTCTTAAAATAAAATTCCAAGATTTTTTCTTACAACTTAAGGGATCCTTAATATAAATATAACTCACAAAAATTCTGACAGTAAAATCAATGGTAAATGTATATATATTTTCAAATAAACATGAAAAAAATTAAATAATAAACTAAATGTATATTTTCGACCTTTTTACTTCAAAACGACGTCCCAGCGGCAGAGCATATGGCTCAACAAACTTGCCCTAAAAAGCACGAAAAAGGAAAAGCAAAACCCTAGAAACAGAAGCGAACAACACAAACTTTCTTCCCCACATTTGGCAGAAATCAAACAAAAGGGATTAAGCACGAAAATCGAAGAAATGAAAACCTTAATCTAATTGACAAACGAAAATGGCGACAGAAGAAGAAGAAGAAGAAGACTGACCTGTGACTCCATGGCAAATCCCCTTACCATCGCAATTTCAGAAACTTTTTGGTCAAAAAAACATAAATCAATTGGAAAGAGAAGGGTTTGGTAAATTTGTAGGAGAGATGGGGAAAAGGAAGACTCGTCGTAACTTTAGGGTAAGAAGAGTGAGTTGATACTACTTAATAGGGGGTGATGGTGCATGGGACCATATGGTGGTCAAGACTGTAGGTGATAAAAAGAAAGAGAAAAATGAGAGTAAATGTGAAGGAATTTATTACAAAATTAGGGTCCACAATCACATGCAACGCCCCCACTTCATGGATCGGGTCCCATGCTGCTAGCCATTCACCGACAACCCACATTTCCCCCAATTATTAATACACCCTCTCTCTCTCACACATACACACATATATATATATATATATATATGTATATATATGTGTGTATGTATGCATATACATATGTATGTATGTATATATATATGTATGCATATATATGTATGTATGTATGTATATATATATATATGTATGTATATATATGTATGCATATATATGTATGTATACACACTTCAAATCACATAAAACCAACATGTTTTTGTGATACCTATGAGACCACTATTTTACACTTGAAACTTCACAATGTTTTTGCTGTGAAAGTTTGATTTTTTTTACTTTCACAGTGTTTTGTTGTAAAAGTAAAAAAAAAAATCGAACATTCACAGGAAAAACACTGTAAATGTTATCCTCACAATGTTTTCCGTGAAGTTTCAAGTGTAACAAGTGGTCTTACAGATCTCACGAAAACAGGTTGGTCCCGTGTGATCCCAAGTCTATCTCTCTCTCTCTCTCTCTCTCTCTCTCT